AACAGCTCTCTTCGCCCACAGTCAATCAAAATCTTATTTTGGACTAGCCAGTCCATACCTAGGATCACATCTAGGTCTTTGAGGGGCAAGCAGATCAAATTCGCTTTGAATCTGCGACCTTCTACCACTAAGGGGCATCCACAACAAGCTTTGGATGCAACCACCAGATCAGTTGCTGGAGTAGACACGAACAACTCACAGGTAAGGTCCCTAACAGGCAAACCTAGTCTCTCAATACAATCAAGTGACACAAAGGAGTGTGTCGCTCCAGAATCATACAAAACTTTCAGTCTGTGACCAAAGAGGAAACACGAACCTTGGACTAGATCACTGGACTTCTCGGCTTCTGCTCCCTTGATGGTGAAGACCCTGCCGGCTGCTCTCGGTCTGATCTCCGTTCTCTGACCCACAGTCGGCTGGCTCCCAGATGGAGTTACAGACAAATCCTCTCTACAGTCTCTAGCAAAATGCCCAAACTTCTGGCACCTGTAGCATCTAATAGGAGCTCGGATCTGCTGATGATGGAAGGAAGGTAAGCTCCTCCCTCTAAACTAGCTGCCCCCACCTGACTGGTGCGAAGTAGGAGCAAATTCCCTCCTGGGAAAAGGGCGAGTATACGGGGTCCTCCTTTCCGGCCTCCTACTTCCGGGATGGGACCCAACTCCGCTAGAAGACTCCACTCGCTACCCGAGGGTCCAGATACCGGTGGCACAATTGACTTGACTCTACCGGCCACCGCCTCTCTGCAGTCTTAGCCCTCTCAACCAGAACAGGAAAATCAGCCACAAACATCGGCACGACAAACTCCTTTAGTTCCTGTCTTAGGCCCTCCTCAAATTTGCTGCATAGCCATGCCTCAGTGCTCGATTGAGAATAGTATCTGGCTAGGTGCTCAAATCTGGTAGCATACTCATGCACTGATAGATCTCCCTGCTCTAGCTTCAGAAATTCCGCCTCCTTAGCAAATCGTGCACTCGCGTGGGAAATACTTTCCCATGAACTTCTCTCCGAAGCTTTCCCAACCGATAGCTTCGTCTCGGCAATCATCGGCCTCTTGGTTCCTTTCCACCAAAATTCAGCCTCCCCTGCTAATAGATATACAGCAAAAGTAACCTTCTTATCCTCGGGGCACTCCATAACATCAAAAATCTTCTCTATCCCTTCCATCCACATATCTGCCTGATCTGGGGTAGAATCTCCTGAAAACTTAGGCGGCTCGTGCTTCAAAAAGCCAGCCAATACTGCTTGCCCTTGTGGCTGACTGGAGGAGGAAGCTGGAGTGGGGTTAGAAGTTGCTGCTGCTACTGCAGCTGCTGCCGCTGCAGTGGCCTCCCTTGATGCTTGCAATTCTTGCATAGCAGCCTGGTGCTGTTGTGCCATTACTACTCCTTGTTGTTGCATGGTAGCGGCCATTACTTCAATGGCTCTTAGTATTTGACTCACCTCAGACTGGGGCTGAGGCTGAGGCTGGGGAGGTGGTCTAGGAGCCATCCTAGACATAAGAAGAAAGCAAAAATTATAATTCTATAATATACTAAAATTATTTTAAGTCTACACGCAGTTAGCATAGTAGGTCCATAACCCTAAGGTTTCCTAGAAATTACCGCTCTGATACCAATTTGTAACAACCCGTAAATTCTACTTAAAATTTTTACTAAATGAAGGAAGAAAATAACTTTTTCACCTAAGAGAGAGATAATAGTTCAGTTTACATATCCAGAATAGTTGAAAAGAAAAAAAGAAAAGAAAACATCACACATCAAAAGTCCTAATTACACAAATGTTTTACACCTAATTACACAGCACAAAATAACTCTTTCAAATTTAGGAGGTCTCTACTCCATTTCCCAAATCACTGGGTCTTACTACCACCTGTAGAAGATTTGGAATCTGCTCACGTGTATAACACGATCATAGCAGGATCCCAAAAGATCAAGCACACAACAAAAGCAAGGGTAAGCTACCATTTGATTAAATATGTAGAACATTGTAACATTGCAAACAACACTTATTAATTCACAAACATCCTAAAACTAGACTCACCGGAGAGTCTAGCATTTTACAATCACAACACACAACAAGACTGACGCTTTCCGGAAAACTATATGGAATTCAGACCAGTAAGGTAGACACCTGATGAGGAATATTTGGGGTCCCAGACCCTTAAAATTTCATGGCCCCAGGCCTATAATATCATTTCTTTTTTTTTTCCAACCTCTCATCAGAGCAACACATGCATAGGATTGACACTATGCTGTGTCTCCATCGACTTCCCACCACAGATGTCTTCGTCTATATGACTAGGAACATCTTGGAAGTCTGGATACCCTATTACGCCTATCCATAATTCCATACACATTATTCTATACAGTACATCAAATCTATCATTCAACAACTATTTCATACACACTATTTTACTCATGGTTTCTAGAATCAAACCAACATCATACAGTTCAAAATGTCCAGTCCAACATTTAAAATTCTCAACTACTATGCAATCATAATTCACTTAAAACGGTACATCATTTCTCCTTCAAACCACACAAACCAACCATACAATTTGGAAATGCAATGATACAAAGATATCTATTTCACAACAATTTACACTGCAAGGTTTCCACAGTACTCACAATATCATATCACATCTAGCACGTATATGTGTCACAAGCATATTCTCATATCACATATAGCACGTATATATATATATATATATATATATATATATATATATACACAAACATACTCTCATATCACGTATAGCACGTATATATATATATATATATATATATATATATATATATATATATATATATATATATATATATCTCACAAACATACTCATCATTCACTTTATCAAACTTTTCATCAATACAAACCAAGTAAAAATTAAAGAAGCTTCCCTTACACGAGGGTGATGTTACACGTCAACCTAATTCCAATAAAACCTTAGGAATGCCAAAACACCTAATTTGTACCGTTCTCCCCCAATTTGGAAAACCCTAAAACGAAATTGAAGTAATAAACAAAATTAAACCCGAAAACATGAAATTGGGGAGTGATAGAGTAAGAGGAAACCTTTAATTCCACAATTAATTCCTTAAATTCTCAAAACCCCAAATTTTAACTAGCAAAAACCCTAAAATTCAAACTTACCGAAACGAAATTCTAATCGGTGGGTCTTCCGCTATTCTCCGTCGTGAGCACAACGGCGGTCTCGGATTCTTGATTGGGGAAGAAGGAAGTCTTGATCCGTAGGAGAGAAGGTAGAGGCTGAGTTAGGGAGATGGGGAATACGTTTGTACGGAGAAGAAGAAGAAAACCAGGTTTTCTCTCTCTTCTTCTTTTTATTTTTCTTTTAATTACAGACATATTACATTATAATAGTAATATTTCTATAATTATATATAAATTTAATTTATTTATATAATTATGAATGATAAATTAATATTTTTCTCTTAATAACAAAATTATGATGGATTAAAATTTTAAAATAAATAATAATATATCTTAAACAAAATATTAACATAAAATATAAAGTTTTATTCTTCTAGTATATATTCCTTAGTCTTCAATTATTCTATCATCTTATAGGGACCGAACCAATTTTTCTTTTTTATGTATTGGATTTTAACAAAACTTTATCCTCTTATTTGATTGGAAATAAGGAGAAATGCACGAGTTATATTTTGTGCTCACAATTTCTAATATTATTTATGATTATTATTTCATATCATAATATTATTACAATATAAATATAATTAACATATTAAATAAATGTGTATCGTATATAATAAATTATTTTATTATTATAAATATATATATATATATATATAAATTAATATAAAAATCATTAATTTTCTTTTAGTAATAACAATCTAAAATACTTATAGTTTTTTATTTAATTGTTAATTTTTATTCTTAAACAGATTACTTTAATATTTATATTGGTAATAAATTAAAAAATATATTGATAGAATAAAATTATTTTAATTAATAATATGTTTTTCTTTATCTAATTATATTATATTTTTATAAAATAAATAATATTTATTAAGTTATCTAATTGATACTTTCTGTTTTATATTAATTATATCAATTATAAGTTTAATAATAATAATAATATTTAAAACAATAGTTATATAAATAATTATTACTACTCTATTAATAACAATACTAATAATTATTTAATAATTAAAAAAATATTTTTAATCATAAAAATAATTATAATCATAATCATATTAATAATTAATATAAAATTAATTTAAATAATTATAATAATTAAAATATAATAATATTTATAACAATAAATATATATATATAAGTAATTATTATTATTATATTAATAATAATAATAATCATACTAAGAATTAAAATAAAATTAATTTAAATAATTATAATATTTTAATAATTTTATTAAAATAATAATTTAATTATCTTTAATTTTTTATTAAAATATTTTTTTAATCTAAGCCCTACCAAATAATGATAAATTACAAATAACCTCTTAATTAAAAGTTTAGAATTAAAATCATTTATGAGAAAGATAATGATAAAATTATAAAAGTTCTTGAATTAAAACTAATAATGAAAAGAAAACCATCTAATAGATATTGTCTCTCTTTATCCGCCCAAAATTCCGAAAAATGGCTTGGTTTGAAAAAATTTGACCAGCTAGATGTTAGGAAAATTGTCAACTCTTGCCACGTAACTTTATTGAGCCACGTGTCCAAATGTGATTTGTCAATCCACGTAAACTCCCTTATTGCTGCGCCACACCTGCACCCTCCTCTCCTATTAGAATCCACAAAGCTTTATTCTTCATACTTCGTAGTTTTCAATTTTTTTCTTTTACTTTAAATTTTTCTTTAAAATTCTCATTTGAGATTGAAGATCTTCAACAAACTGGTAAATCATCTTTCTCTTTCTCTCTTTTATTTGTTTTTCGATCATTCTCAGAATCATAGATCTGTGTCAGTTTCTGGCCTAGTTCGATCTGCATTATGCATCGGTTAATTGTTTCCTGGTTTTGTCAATGCTTGCTTTGTGGTGATGATGTGGAATTCTTGCGTGCCTTGTGTGATAACGAAATTGTGGTGTGCAAGTTGTATATTGATGGCTTGAGATTAGGGTTTTGAATTCTTGATTGTTCCGATTTGTGTTATTTTCCTTGAACGGGTTGGTTCAGATCTGGCTCGGACGAGTGTGGAGTTGCCTCATCTTGAATTTAATTGTTTCGTGATTATTGTTGGTGTTATGTGCTTTTTTCATTGATTGTGTCTGATTGGTTTGCCTTTATCATCATAATCTTTTTTGGTTCTAAACCACAGACAATGACATTTTAGATTGCCCCCGTTTTTTAGTCAATGCTCGTACTAGATGTTTGAATTTTGTAATTGACTGTATTTATCATTTAAGCTGGTATCTCATTTGGACAATTAAGCAACTAATTTAATTGATATTAGTTAATTATGGAACATTTGATGTTGTTTGTACTAATTCATGGGGTGCATTATTTGTTTCTAGAGATGATAATATTTCATTATTTCAGTTATCTTCTCCATTGTGCATTGGTTGAACGCTCATAATCAAAATAATCGCAGAAGCCAATGTTTTTGTATTTTAACAATTTCTTAACAGTATTCAAACAATCTGTGTACTACTCTTACACATATGGGTAGTTCGGCATGCATCATGGGTTTTCGTGACCATATTTTATGTGAAATTCTTGCTGTCTTGCAGCTCTTGTTCCATCCAAACTCCATCCAGTAAATGACAATGAAATAACTTCATGAGGAATTGTTGTGTCATGTGTACTTTTGTATTACTTGGTTTCGTTTTTCAATATTAATTGTCATTTGGATGCAGGGGTGTGCTTTTGAAGAGCAGTTTTTATTTCTCCCCTCTTATCTATGCCCTGTAACTTTATTGTGCAGGTTAAATTTGTGTAGCCTAGCAAGATGGGAGGTGGCTTCAGAGTGCTTCACTTAGTTAGACCATTTCTCTCATTTCTTCCAGAAGTTCAGACTGCTGACAGGAAGGTTCCATTTAGAGAGAAGGTCATATATACTGTGATATCTCTATTCATTTTCCTTGTTTGCAGTCAGCTCCCTCTGTATGGAATTCACTCAACGACTGGTGCAGATCCATTCTATTGGATGCGTGTTATCCTTGCTTCGAACCGTGGAACTGTTATGGAGCTGGGAATCACCCCCATTGTGACTTCTGGGCTGGTAATGCAACTTTTGGCTGGGTCAAAGATCATTGAAGTGGACAACAATGTACGGGAGGATCGCGCTCTCTTGTAAGTATCTTTCTTTATGTAACTTGTTTCATTTCTTGACACATGCTTTTTACATTTTGCCTTTTACAATATCTGTGATTTAGTTGGTTGATTTTGTGGTTGTCAAGTTGTCATACAACGATTTTGTTCAATTTATTATCTTGTGCACTGCTTTATCTCTTATAGCTGTCAGTTCGTATGAGCTTTTACATAATTTGTAAGGAGGTTTTGGACTGTCATATATGTTTGCTATTGACGTAATTTCTTTTCCTCTCCCAGAAATGGTGCTCAGAAGCTACTTGGCATCTTGATAGCTGTTGGTGAGGCAGTTGCATATGTTCTTTCTGGGATGTATGGTAGTGTGGGCCAACTTGGAGTGGGAAATGCCATCCTCATCATCCTCCAGCTCTGTTTTGCGGGTATTATTGTGATATGTTTAGATGAGCTCCTTCAGAAAGGGTATGGTTTGGGATCTGGAATTTCTCTATTCATTGCCACTAATATATGGTAAGTTTTATTATCCCTTGTTTTATTATTAGTAATTATTTATAATCTATTTCCGGCATTGATTGTGTCTCTCAATAACAACTTTTAACCTTTTATCAAAAAACTCATGAATTCTCTCATTATGTTGCAGTGAAAACATCATATGGAAAGCATTTAGTCCCACCACCATCAATAGTGGACGGGGAGCTGAATTTGAGGGTGCTGTCATTGCTCTATTCCATTTGTTGATAACTAGAATAGACAAGGTTCGAGCACTTCGTGAAGCATTTTACCGGCAAAACCTTCCCAATGTGACAAATCTGCTTGCTACTGTCTTGATCTTCCTAATTGTGATATACTTCCAAGGTTTCCGTGTGGTTTTGCCCGTCAGATCAAAAAATGCCCGTGGGCAGCAGGGTTCATATCCAATCAAGCTATTTTATACCTCCAATATGCCCATTATTCTTCAGTCTGCCCTTGTTTCCAATCTCTACTTCATTTCTCAGGTAGTGAAGGTTAAGGATTGTAAGTTGTCACTAGGAGTAAATTTCTGTTACATTTTTAACCAGATTTTACTGTATTTGTACAGCTTCTACACAGAAAGTACAGTGGAAACTTCTTTGTCGATCTATTGGGCAAATGGAAGGAGTCTGAATATGGAGGTGGTCAGTCTGTTCCTGTTGGTGGTATTGCGTACTACATCACTGCACCTTCCAGGTAAGAGAAGTGCTACCCATTGAATGGTTTATGGTTTGCAATAATGTAAATTTCTGCTACGTTGTAATGGTGATGTGATCTAAAATTTCAAGCAACTTAATTTTACCACTGTTATTATTTGGATCTCAATTTTCAATTTTTTTTTGGCAGCTTAGCTGATATGGCAGCCAATCCTTTCCATGCATTGTTCTACCTTGTGTTTATGTTGTCAGCATGTGCCTTGTTCTCTAAAACATGGATTGAAGTCTCTGGTTCATCTGCTAGAGATGTTGCAAAGCAGCTGAAGGTAGTGATTCACATGCATTCTGTTAATTTATTATTTTGTTTTGTATATGTAACTTTAGTTTTTCAATACAATAATGAGCCTGTTTTCTCATCATTATTTTGTTTTGTATCTGCATATTTGAATTCTTGTTTCCCAATTGGATAAGTACTGGAAATATACGCTTAAAACGCTTTACATATTGTCTAATGTAGTATTTAGGCCCAATGATTCTTTGGGCTTCTCTTTTTAAATGGTGAAATGCTCTTGTAGTGTTCCTTTTTTTTTAATAACCATGAGCCAAAATAGTTGAGCTTCTGATCTACTTTAAGAAGAGAAGCCCAAAGCAGTTAGGAAAACACGACCCGAAAGATTCAATATTTCTAGCTTCATTGCAACTTTATTAGTAATGCTTTTTGTAAGCTGGTAAGCCTGGTCTCCAAGCACTCTCTTTCACCCCATGGAAATTGCTGTATTAAAATTCATAAGCTGAATTTATTTTGATTCTTGTTAAAACATCTGTTGTCATAATATCTTGGGTTTTCGTTTTTCTCTTATAATTTACAGGAACAACAAATGGTAATGCCTGGACATCGGGAGTCAAACTTGCAGAAAGAACTGAACCGATACATTCCCACTGCTGCCGCATTTGGAGGCATGTGTATTGGTGCCCTGACAGTGTTAGCAGATTTCATGGGGGCAATCGGTTCAGGGACAGGAATATTGCTCGCAGTAACAATCATATATCAGTACTTCGAGACTTTTGAGAAGGAGAGAGCTAGCGAGCTTGGCTTCTTTGGTTTCTAATTTCTGCCCTGCATTTACTGTTTGGTGACGCAATTCTCCGAACTCACCTGCAGTTTTGTTGTGTATTGAGGTCTGCATGTAGGTTGTTTAACACCGTAAGGAAGAACTTTAGATTAGTTTTTATCTTTTCTCTACCGAGGAAGCCCCTAGCATATCACTGTAAACATTTTTGGATTTTCTCTGAAGACACTTGCGTTAATTTAATTTGCCTTAGTCTGATACCATGGGCTAAAAGTGGGTCTTAATTCATAGCTTAGATCTATAAATTATCTGCTATTTTATATTAATTTTCTTGACGTGCGATGCATTACCTTTTACATGATTTTTTTAATTACTATCAAATTGAAATTACTACGCTCAAATAGCTTATGCTAAGGTTGTGCTCTTTTCAAATACTATAAGGTGGTGTAACAAATGTATTGTTTTGTTGAGGAAACTAAACATTCAAGCTATTTTCGTCATAGCCAATAGTACTTATTTACTCCCACGTCCATTTAATTGTTTATATACGCATAATATAATTTTTCTTTTAAATTTTAGTTTTAATATAAATCATTAAAAAATCAAAAAAACAAAAACTCAATGACAAACCCTACCCAGACGACCATTTGTTCCACAACTTCTTTACCCCATTTATACTCAAATCCTCGATAACTTTTACTCTTGATAAAGAAGAGGCATAAAATTTTGACAACGGAAACATCTAATTGACATTTAATTATATTAATAAAATAATAAATATTATTATTATACTAATAAAATGAGTTGTAAATGAGAACATTTTCGGAAAAATAAATGTAATTCAGCCAAATGAACTTCAATCCTCATTTTGCATGTTTTTGGTTGGGCGCCTTCTATGACTAACCAAGCCTTAAAAACCTTTTTAATTCTTTTATATCATGAAGAAGAAACATCTATAAAGGAGTTCTTCAATTTAGAATTGAGATGAACATAGTGTTTTTTTTTTCTCTTTTTTGACAAGCGACAAAGGTATATGTTAGAGTTGTGTATTGGATAGAAAAGTTTTCCCTATTAGATGATCAAAGAACCTTATTTCCTTTCCTAGCAATCCTAACCTTGGAATTACAAAAGGTAGAGGAAGCTTATTTCTAGTTTTTCTTTTGCAAGTTTTATATGTTCGGGTGAACATTGATATTGTATATGGACAAAGTTTTACAAAAAATTAAATTCAAAATATTTGAAGTTCAACATAATTAACTAGGGAAAAATCATCCCGACAGAATTTGTAATAAAACATATAATAAAGGCAAATGTATGAAATTTTTATTACATATAGCCTTTTACATTAAGATTTTGTTTTCTATAAGCCACTTGTCCCACATATTTTTTAGGCAGAAGCCACACAACATAAGATAGAAAAGCAATAAAATATAATGTAAAATTTTCATAGTCTGACAAACTATAATTTTTGTAATACAATAGACGTGCCAAATTGAGGTTGAGCAGTAATAACTGTAGTTGGAGCATGAACATATGACGAGGATAGCTCAAACGAAAAGTTCTGCAGAATCAAAGACAAAGCCATTTTGGCTTCAAGCAAAGCAAAGTTTTGCCCAATGCATATTCGAGGACCCCATCCAAATGGCAGAAATGAAACTTGACCCTTTGTTGCTTTCAAGATTCCTTCAGAGAATCTCTCTGGTTTGAACTCTTTTGCATCACTGCCCCATAATTCAAAATCATGGTGTACCAACACGATTGGAATAGTAGCTAATGCTCCTTCTGGTAAAGTCAAATTTCCAACTTTAGCTTCCTTCTTTACGACTCTTGTAATAGCAGTAACTGGTGGATATAATCTTAGAACCTCGTACAAAATCATTGTGACCTATGACAATGCCACAAGAAACTATAATGAATTAACATTAGTATCATTTTGTTTTTCAAAAGCAAGTGAATTATAAAAGTTTAAGACAAGAGTATCAATTACTCAAACTTTTTCTATGGCTTAGATCAATGAAGATAAAAACTCAAACTTACAACTTTTAGACGATTTAATCCATCATAGTCTGGTTCTTGTGTGCCAAAAGTTTCAATGACCTCTTCTCTTGCTAGGGTTTGCCACTTGGGAAACCTACTTAATAACACCATTGTCCAATTTAGTAGCACCGACGTTGTTTCTTGTCCAGCAAAGTAGAATAACTTACACTCGTTAATGACATCATCAGTGTTCATTCCAACATCCTTTTTAAGTCCAAGATCTTCAATCTCTTTTTGATTGGACTCCAATAGTAACCCTAGTAGGTTATTTGGAGCTTCGCATGTCTTCATAATAGCTTCCTGCTTTTGGATAATTCCACTAAGTACATTTCCAATTTCATGGTCAATCTTCTTCATCCTTTTGTTCAATCTAGTTGGTAGAAACCTGAAGGGAATGATGATGCAAGAAACTTGAATAAAACCTAGTAATCTTCATGCCTTCAAACCATTACAATAGTTGATTAAATATACCTCCATCCTGGAATATAAACAGATTGTAGGACCTTGGCTGTAAGTTGAGCTTGTTCTTTCAGGAGTTCAAATACTATTTTTCCCTCTTCATAGCTGCTTCCGAAAGCTGTACGAGAAATCACATCAGCTGAGAGGTTATTCAAGAATGGCCAAACATCTACCACGCATGATCCTGTTTTCGATAGTAACATCTTCCATTCGTTCATCATCTGGTTACAACTATGAAACATGGCTGGCAACACATGCTGCAACAAATTTGAGACGTGAAAAGATGAATGTATCGAGCGAAAATATTCAATGGAATGATGATTTCGTTTTTGTGCTGATGTTAGTTAGGTTCTACGAATTACAAGAACACAATTTAAAGCCTTTTTTTTCGTTCTTATTTGCTTTCTTAATGGAAATAGAAGTTTGAAAATACATGCAGTATGTAACAAATGCATGCGTTGGATGATGAGAAAAAAAAAAGACCTTGAGCTTGACGAGATTAAATGCAGGGTTGATGACCTTTCTGTGCTTTGACCATTTCTCTCCATCAAGGTCTACAAGTCCTGTTATGAGGAGCTTAGCAAGTGGATTAAGGGACGGCTTCGGATAGTCACTTATCACATTCAGAACCTCTTTTATTCCTTCTGGGTCCATAATATTCACTGTAATCTTCGGGCCATACCAAAAAAACGAATCCTTCCCTGCATCAAATATTATCTTATTTGCTCGTTGAACATGACAATGGAATATGTACAATGGTGATGATGATTCACAAAACGTATATAATAAATACTATGTAACAACGATAATACAGGAATATTTTATTAAAAAATGCAAGTGGGTCTATTCATTTGCTAATACAACTGTGTAACCTATTTGTTGAAGTATTTAAATCACTAGTTGCTATGATTCTTCAACCAACTCCATTCAATTGAAAATTATAAGACTATACATTTATTAACAATTTGATAATTGTTTAAGAGTAAATGGTACGGTAGTTTGGATTTGATTCTATTTTAATTTGTTAATAAATATATTAATATTTGTTCATAACATACTGACACAGTTAATTCAGAAATAACATGAAACCACTGAATATATCAAGTTTAACTGCATAAATTTTAGGAATACCAAAAAGTCATTTAACCCTTGAAAAAGATATATCCATACCACAATCTTTTACCAGTTGATGTTGAAATGGACCTAGGCGAGGAGCAATATCATCGTTGATGTCTAAGGGTTTAGATTTTGCTTCACGCAGCATCGTGGCCATAGTTTTGATATCTCCGAAGAAAAGCGTGTATGAGTTTCCTTTCAGGCCTTGTCTTCGGAGGAATCTCTCTGCACTTTTCGGCTCCAGCCACACCCAACGCAGTGCTTTTGTTAGGAATACGATAACGAATGCAACCAACAATCCAACACACAACATCGTTGCTGCATCACCTTCCATTTCCAAAGCAAAGTGTCTGTAATATGAAGTCAAATGAAAGCATTCATGTCTATATAAACTGAACTACAGAAGAGTCTCTGAACAAGATACAGATGCTTACTCACATGTAGGGACAAGAAGAAGCTCCAAATTCTTAACCAGCTAGACACTGATATGCTTCATCAACAAAGACACGCATCGTTGAAATATATGAAAACCACGACCTGTGCTTGCTGTAAACTTTGTTTCTTTCTTTTAAACATAGTTTACTGATATTTTTGACGGACTCTTCTTGGTTGTTTACACAAGAAGACAAGCCAGGATGATGTGATTACATAAAAGTTAGAAGAAATTATTTTCTATCTTTAGACTTTATTTTCTTTTAAGTTATTTTCAATCATCACGAGAAAAAAAAAATAACTGTTCCGAATAACATGATTTGGATTAATTCACACCTACGGAATCTTCGTTTTCAAATTCTTATTTCTTTATCATGATTTTGTCCTTAATACATGTTTAATAATAGGATTTAATGGGATGATAAAGTAAAATAATAATAGTTAGATACAACTTGTTCATTGGACCAATCATAGATAATAGGATAAATTGCTTAAAAATAATCTTAGATAAGAAGTTAAATTGCTTGAAAATAAATATTTTAAGAGAAGATGATATGAATAATTGTTTACGAATAGAAATTATTGTTTTATTATGGATGTGAATTACTTAAAATTAGGGATGACGAAACGGGCTAGTCTGCCTGTTTTGGCATGTCCCGCCTTTGGTCTGTCAAAAGTGAGACGGGACAGACGGATGGACTGTAGACCTTGGTCCATCCTGCCAAGGGCTGATTGTGGTCGACCCGCCATAACTTAGAAAAAAAATTATTTTTTAAAATACAAAATTTTAATAAATTTAATAATAAGATTATTATTTGTAATTCAATATATATATATATATATATATATATATATTATTTTAATTTAATAATATAAATCAATACATTATTTTAAAAAATTATAATTTAGAACAATAATAAAATTTACATAATAATATATAATAACAATATATATATATATAACGTTAAAACTTATAAAATTCATATTTTTTATATTGAAAATTTTAAATACCTATATCTTTTTTATTTGATAAAACTTCACATTATTCGTGTTTTAGTAATTTTTACACCTTTAATTCAAGTCATAAGATAAAAATAATCAATGTCTAGGAGAACAAGAGAGAAAATATTTTGTTTCAGGTAAGGAGAATATTTTATGTGAGAGTGAAACTTTTTTAATTCTCTTTTTAAAAAATTTAACTTTATATATTATCTTTATAAAATTAACTTTATTACAATAAAAAAATTTATTAATTAGGCGGGCCATGAGACGACCCACCCGTCCCGTGGGTTGACGGAGTGGGACAAAGCAGACTGACGGACTGAAAACATCAACCTACCCCACCATATTATAGTGGGTTGGCGGACCGGTCCGTCAAGGCTGATCCGTTTTGTCATTCCTACTTAAACTATAAGAAAGAAAGTTATTTAAGATTGTAAAAAAATTGAATATATAAGTAAGATAAAAGAAGAGAGAATTACATTTTTAAAGTTAAAAAAAAATTGGAGTAAAATTAATTAAATATGATGTATGATAATAAATTTATATTATATTTTAACTCTTTAACTTTTACCAACTTTTAAAGGAAATGAATCATTATTATATATTAATTTAAAAATATTTTAAATTTTTAATCTATTATTGATATTTTTTAAGTACACGTTAATATTATATACTTTTAGGACCTAAATATATTTTTAAGTACTTAATATTCTTTTCATTAAATTAGGTACCTATTATTTGAAAATTTTAATTTAAGTTCCTTCCAAATTCTATTATCAAAGTGTTCATGAAGTTGTCATACGTATCATACAAGTTGAAAAAGAATAATTTATATTAAGTCTCTTTTGTTAATTGTATTGATATTACATAATATAAAATATATCCGGTGTTCGGTGTTGTAATAATATATATATATATATATATATATATATATATATATATATATATATATATATATATATATATAAAGTATCAAATCATAAATCTAAAAATACTTCAGTAACTTAAATAAAAATAAATAAAGAATATATTACAAAATACAGAATAATTAGGTAATTTATCAATTTGGATTAGTTTTATAAAAGAAGAAAGGTGTTTGTATTTTAATTTGTGCCAACACAAGCTGGTGTGACTCATTTGGTCAACACCTAATCTTATAAAATTTCTTAAAATATTTGCAATCTAATTTAAAACATATAATAGTTTTCATCAGTGTGATTTATATAATACTTAAAATGTAATAAAATTTACCTTATTTAAAAAGAATAAATACGCAAATTTAATAACTATTATAAAAACAAAATAAAAGACTTTTTTTAAACGTTAGATGAAATAAGTATCAAAAATAGTTTCTAATCTATAAAAATAACTTTTTTTATCAAACACACATAATTGAAACAAAAAAAATTATAATTAGTCAAAAATTATTAAAATATCTTGTTAAATAATACAAATAATTATAAAACTGCACCTGGTTTAATTTACTTCCATTTTTTGGTTCCTTCTCTCAGAATCTAGTACTTTTATCTCACTATAAATCTACTTATTTTATATATAAAAATTAAATTTTTCATTATTAATTTTATAATTTAATAATCTAAAATAATAATTTATTTTAATATTATATTATTAGAAAATAAAAACAATTATCTAAATCTTAAACATAAAGTAAATATATCTCTTTATCATCTATACAAGGAAAAAAGAAGAAGGTGAAATCAATTTCATATTATAATAAAAGACTAAATTTTTTATCTATCTTTTAAAAAATACTTACAAAATAATAATGTATTAATTTATTATATATATATATATATATTTAAATTATAACCGATAATATGTTTAATAATATGATGATACATATTTTAACCAAATCTCACATATAATAAAAGTTAAATAAATATTTAAAATATTATTTATTAAAATATCAAAACATCACAAACTTTGAATTGATTATATAATTACTATCGTTTACTTTATATTATATGATTTATTAAGAAGTATTATTTCATCAACTATAAAACAAAAAAATATTAACAAAATACGACCAATAAGAAATATCATCATGCTGAAATAAATTGTTTGTATTATTTATCTATATGTTAATTTAATTATGATATTAAGGTCTTTTCTTATTTTAAGATAACTTTTTTTTCAAAAACATCCATAAATATTTGTTTGACAAATCGAGTAAAGTGATATTTGACGTGTGCACGCAATAGTTAAACTATTTGTATTCATTCACTGGAAAAACCATTGTAATAATTATGAAGAAGACATTTAATTTCAAATGTTTTAGAAACATTTTTTGTATATATATATATATATATATATATATATATATATATATATATATATATATATATTCTACGTTTATGATAATAAATATGATTATAATAAAAAAATTAGTTTATCAATTAAAATAATTAATGTTGAGAGATAAAAGGCTCTTCAAAAATTTGAGTATAGCGTAAGTCAATAAAAACGATCGATCTTATTTAATTAAGTAATCGGTAAAACAAATATTTTAATTTAATATGATAATCTTAAATGAAATCGTTCAATTTTTAATTATTAATAAAGATAAATATAAAATTCAGTAAATACTATCACTAATTAGTAAGATGTAACTCAATATTAATAAAGATCAAAGATCAATATAAAAATATGTTCTATTATGTCTTCTCTTGAATTCTTATGTTTTTATTTTTTTATTATAAATTATCTGACTATCAAAAAAGAAAGAATAATAAATATAGGAGAGTATAAAGTTTTTTAACAGTCTCATTTAATTGCAATTATACTGTGTATTAGATTCGTTAGTTTTCCATAATTTTTAATCAATTACTACAACATTACACTAGTTAATTACAATATTACATTATAAATGCGATTCATTTTAAGTAACACACTTATTTATGTATGTTTCCAACACATATATGTTTTATATTATTAGTAACTTTGTAATCAAATCTTGGAATATACTATTATATATGTTTAAAAACTTTTATGTATTACAAATTTATATTTAAAAGACGTATTGGTAGGTTAAAAGAATAAAGTATATTTAAATTATCATTAACATCGATTTCTACATTAATAATATTTATTTACAATTTTTCCTATAATTATTTTAAAAAAATATTATTTTTAATTCTATTTTATTTTAAACTTGGTTGAATTTAGAAGCAAGACTTATGTTTCTAATATATTACGTTTATCTTATTGCCTCTTTTTCAAAATATATAATATTTAAAATTAGGTTATATAAATAAAAATAAATATCATTTTTATTATTTTAAATAAACTATTAATTTTATTAATATATTTATTATTTTAATATTTTGTCAATTTAAAATATAATGAAAAAAAGGAAATTAATACAAATTTATACTTTTTAAACATCGTATATTTACAACACAAGTAAAAAAATATGAATTATAGCACATATTTACTAATATTTTTTGTATAATTAATTTAAAAAAATATTTTATTTATAAATATATTAATTATTATTTTTATTAATTACGTATCATACTTTTCTTTATTAAATTATTACTAGTACTACAAAATTATCATTCAACGTCAGGTGTGGAAGGCATTCAACGTCGGTTCCAATGACGTCGTTGAATCAGGCGTCGTTGAATGTCAAAGGATTCTACGTCGGTTCAGAATACCCGACGTTGAAAGTGATATATATCTACGTCGGTTAACCAAATGTCCGTCGTAGAAATTAGTAAATTCTACGTCGGTTATTGAACTAACCGACGTTGAAAGTTATATATACAACGTCGGTTATTGCATTAACCGACGTTGTAACGAATATACTACGTCGTTTAATGCCATAACCGACGTTGTATATTCGTTACAACGTCGGTTAATGCAATAACCGACGTAGAA